TCAATATTAATGCTTAAATATGAAATAGCATTTCAAATTTAAACATATAGGGGGCAGCACTGTGGTGGAAAGTTAACCTGCCAGCTGTGATGGCACCATCCCTGACACTTCTTGGTGTCCTGCCTGCTTCACTTCCAATCCAGCTTCCAGCGAAAATATCTGGGCACACAGTGGAGAGTCGTCCAAGTTCTTGGGCACTTGCTCTACACATGAAAGACCTGGATGGAGTTCCAAGCTTCTAGCTTTGGCCTGGCCCAAACCCTGTCATTGTAGGGGTCAATATTTTGGAAGTAAATTTGTTGGTTCACCTAAAATGTATTGCAGCACACATTCTAGGTTTGATGTCATATCTATCTGTATTCTGTCAAGGACTATTTTGGTTAATTAATTTTTTGTAAATACAACCATTTATAAAATGATCTAGAAATTTATTAAATTTGCTTATGTTTTTAAATCAAGGAAAGGTCAGTTACCTTGTCAGAAATCGCTACTTATTTACAGTACTCTCATCTATCTCACAACTGCTATAAACTTCAAATAAAAGCAAAGAAAAATAATATAATTATAATATAAAATACATTATTTTCATAATTTGTAAAATACATTCAAATAAATACATATATACCCAGACAAAAGATATTATTTCCACCTTCCCATGAGCAATCTGTATTTATACTTATATATATGTACATATATTTAATAAGCAGGAATACTCTGAAAATTAATGGAAAATGGAATGAAAAGATATTTACTTTAATAAAATAGAAATGGGAGGATTTTCTCTTACTCTCCCTTTCAAATCAATAAATACGTCTTTGAAAAAAAATTAAAATGCCCAATGCTCTGCTTACCCATTTCAATTGATAACAACTCAATTGTTTCAGAATTCAAAAGGGGCTAAAAATCTTTACTGCCATCTTTGATCACTTTCATGTTCACATATTCTATGTCCACTTCCATAAAGTCCACTCATTGGCTCCAACCTTGAAATAAATCCAGAACTGCAACATTTTTCACCACCTCTGTTTAAAAACACTGTTACCTAAATCTCAAAAAGACACATTGGTAAACCCGGAGGAGCCTCAACAGTCAGTGACAGGTACACAGGAGGTTTCTCAGAGCATCTGGATGTTTCTACTGAAACCAGATCTACTGGTGTTCAGGGACAGAGAAAGTCCCTTGAGAGAAACCTGGAATGGAAACGCTTCTCTACAGTTAGACACTGTAGACAAGGAACACATGCAGAATCTTGGGAAGCTCTTAAAGGAAGAGTGGGGCAAGGTTTAGAAGAAGTGGAGTGAAGTTGATTTATAAACATAATCTGTCAAAGAAAAGGGAGGATAAATTCAAATGTTATAAAGGAAAATCAAGGTAGAATTCAATGCGTCTTTTTTAATATTAAAGATTTTTTTTCCAGGAAATTGTTGTATTGACTTAATTACTATGTTTCAGTCTGTTCAGTGTGGGACAAGGTCAACTTAGCAGCTACTCCTACAATTTGAAGAACTTATCATTACCAATAATTATAATCATTCTGGTTTCCCATGTGCATCCGAATCGACGAGTCCCTGTTTATTCCAGGCTTCTTCTTCAGCACCCTGGATCCAGCAAAACTTTGACCTCACCTGGAGTTTCCAAACCAAAAGTCCTATTGATTTTCACTGCTGTGTATTTCTTTATTTTTCTCTTCCATGCTAAATTCTGCTATAAAATTTATGTTCACTCCTTTGCATTTATATCCCTTTGCTTTTTCAATTACTTCCACAAATCCATTTAGCAAAACCACAACCTACACATAGAAAAGAATAAGTGTCCAAATACTCTGCACCTGCACCTCCATCTAGGCTGTAGAGAAACACAGAGCCACACTGGTCTGTCACTTTCAGTGTGTGAAGATGGGCTTCCATGGCTTTTTAATGGTGTCAACTGGTTGTGCTATACCTCCTTTGTTCAATCATTCTGTCTCTTAAAAGAAACAACTATTTTTATATTGTCCTTTTTTCCCATGAGGTCTGTACTTTCACCTGAAGTTGGTTTTTATTTTACGGACAAAATGGAAATGATCAGATCAGAGCTTGCACAGATTCTCAACAACGATCCCTCGGCAGTATGTGCTCCCATAACATGCCTATTGCCCACGCACCTTTCTAGGATGGAAACTTCCACGTGGTTAGCATGGCCCATCCTAAACTTAAATTTAAAATCCCCTTCTGAAGACATTCCTTGGAAAGATATTTGATGCTTGTTCTATATCCTCTTCTCCCATTATTCCCTAAGTACATTTCACTGGGCTATTGTCCCACTAGCCAAACTACTCTTGTCTGAGTCAGCCATAACTTCCACATTGTTAAATCCAAGTCAATTTTAAATGAATCATCATGCACTCAACACATCAGCTTCATCTGATAGAGTCGATCACCCATTTTCCAAGACCATTTTTATGCATGCATTTAAAACAAGCTTTCTCTTTAATTCCATTTTTAAAGGTTTATTTATTTATTTTTATTTCAAAGGCAGATCTACAGAGGGAAGGAAGGAATATTTTCCTTCTGCTTGTCCTCACTTTGCACATCTCACTATGTTATATGATAACGTGAGTTTAGGTTTCATAGACAATAAGTAAACATAGTGGTCTGACAGGGACCCCATCAATTCTAGCTCGCATTCTAGAAAGAAGAAAAACTATAACCATTAACTAAAAGAATTGTAAGTATAATTTTTTATAGTAAGTAAAGCTATGTAAAAAAAAAAAATAACAGGAAGTAGCTAGACCAACGTGGAAAAATGGTTAAGATCATGCACTCCACATTAGGTTTGATTCCCAATTTTGTCTTAATGGGCAATTATTTGGTGACCTACCATCTTTGTGTCTATACTTGCTTCTCTGTAAGTAATGACACCTATTTGTGATGTTTAAAAACAGTACATGCAAAATGACTACAATAGTGACTCACTAATTCTGTTAAGCATTTGTTTCTTCTTTTTGTATCATTATTATCATGCAGGAAGGGCTTCTACTTGAGATGGCTGATTTAGGGAGTTTTTATAAGAGAGTATTCTTGAGTCTACACCTGACACCCGATGGCAACCCGATGCCTCATACAGTAGACCCAAAGAACCAAAGTTAAAAAAATTCCAGGGTCGGATGCCCAGAAAAGGCCAGTGAGAGCCAGGATGAGTTTCCCAAAGGTAAAGAGACCGTTGGGAACCACATTAAATGGGGCTCCCTTGGCCATGGCAATGGGTTGTAGTTTATTCCAGAAGTCACTGAAAAATTTTAAACATGGTATCGGCCCACTTTTATTCTCATTTTATAAATAACACTGGCTGTCATGAAAAGTTGGGTTACAACTTCCATGGAAAGTATATTTTATCACTCTCCTTATTTTTAAAGCCTTAGCTTCTTTTTGCCTTCAAGGAAAATATTCCTGTTTTGCAATGCTTGTATTAGTGCTATTACAAGTAGACTCATTAAAGGACTTCAGGAAGCCCTGTACGTACTTACATATCCTCATACTCATTCGATTGTTATTTTTTTTAAGATTTATTTTTATTGCAAAGTCAGAGAGACAGAGAGGAGGAGAGACAGAGAGGATGATCCTCTGATGATTCACTCCCCAAGTGACCAAAATGGTTGGTGCTGTGCCGATCTGCAGCCAGGAGCCAGGAACTTCCTCCAGGTCTCCCACTCTGGTGCAGGGTCCCAAGGCTCTGGGCCATCCTCCACTGCTTTTCCATGCCACAAGCAGGGAGCTGGACAGGAAGCAGGGCCACCAGGATTAGAACAAGCACCCATATGGGATCCTGGCACATTCAAGATGAGGACTTTAGCCACTAGGTCACCGTGCTGGACCCCACATACTCATTTTAAGCAAAGATTATATGGAATACCATTCTGACTACACTTTAGGATTCTAAATATCATATTGTTCATATACTGTTTTAAAAATGTATATATATGTATATATATTTATATATAAACATATATAAATTTATATATGTGTGTGTGTATATACACACACACACACACACACACACACACACACACACACACACATATTATTGGAAAGGCAGATTTATAGAGAGAAGCAGAAACAGAGAGAAAGATCTTCCATCTGCTGGTTCACTTCACAAGTAGCAGAGCCAACCCAAAGCCAGGAGTCAGGGCTTCTTCTGGGTCTCCCATGTGGGTGCAGGGTCCCAGGGCTTTAGACCATCCTCTACCACTCTCCCAGGCCACAAGCAGGGAGCTGGATGGGAAGTGGAACAACCTGGACAAGAACTGGTGTCCACATGGGATTCCAGTGGATGTAAGGTGAGGATTTAGCCACTAGGCTATTGTGCCGGGTCCATATATTAGGATATAATATCATCTCTCTTTGAAGGAAGGTAATTAAATGGTTTATTTACTGTAAATTAGAAGAAGAAGAGACTCTTTAGGTTTCAACTCCCATATTTTTGCCCCTTTGCTGTACTAGTTATTAGTGCCTTTTGTTCCAAACAAAGCAAACATTGCCATATCAGGGCATGGAACCAGGGGTCTTTATTGGGGCTGTGGTCCCTCCTGCCACTTCTCCCTCACCCCAGCCCCATTCTCTCCAAGGACTCTGTGGACTAAGCAGGCTGTGATGTCTTACTACACATACTTGATAAGAGGTCTCCAGCCTCATGATGGTTGTTAACACAGGGGTGTGCTGAGATGCTACCACTATTGGCAGGGGCTAAACGGCAAGAGAAGAAAAGCATTTCTGGGCCTATGGACAGTCTACTACCATAATACTAACAGATTAACCAATGAATACCTGACTCCTAAAAGTCCAATTTGTACTGCCAAAGAATATTATATCCACACTCTGAAAAAAAATCTCAAGTCCTAAGATTGCAACACAAGTAGGTGAGCTGCAAAGTCATGCAATCTGCGCAGAGACTCCTTTCAATTTCTCTAAACCATGAAGGCTTAAAACATTAAAAACAACAGCTTCATAACATCACTACATTACCTGCATGGTCACTTCCCTCATTCTTGACTTCTGTGGTTTCCACTGCAGAGGTGTGTGGGCTGACAGGAGGGCTCGGAGTAAAGCTTGCGCACCCTGTAGATGTGCTGATTTCAAAGTATTCCTGGTTCTGGTTCATTCGATGAAAATCCAGAGAAGACACAATGGATGTTCGTTGCTTAGGCTAAAATAAATGAGTGGCACAAAAGTATTAACATGATAGCATTCCAGCTCATTCTCCTATGAATCTAAGTCGCTTTTATTTTCTTTCAGAGTACTTTTAACCTAAAACACAATTTTACTTTATAAAGCGATAGTAAATGCTCATTCGATGAGTACAAATTATTGAATGAAAGGAGACTGTGGTATAGATGGTATCATAATTTCCCCCAAATGATTGTAGAACTATGGACACAGTTTCTACAGAATTTCTCTTAGTGATCCATTTTGAAAGTTTCAAGTTTAAGCCACACTTCATTCAACTAACATTTTGCTAAGCATCTGGCATTTGGCAGACCCTGAGGATACAAAATCTAATAATCAAAGGTCTCCTACAACACTGAGGCATAATTAAGGCAGTTGCCTTTTTTTGACTCTTTGTAGAATCCAAGGAATTGGTGGCATTAAATGTTGTCCCTAAATACCACATGGAGGAATTTAATCATCAGAATTCAGCAAAGTTATATAGAACATTTTCTTGGATCTAAGAATCTACTTGGTATTTGTAATGAACTTTGATTTAAAAAAAATTAGTGAGAAAATAACATGAAAAGTCAATTTAAATATGAAAGTTAAAGTCATGCCATAAAAGCTGATTGTATATATACCTTTTGTCAAGGATAGATTGATATATTTGGCAATTTTCTTTTTTGTACCTCCCTATGAGCTTTACTTTTTTTCTCCTACCTAGTAGAATTTCTACCATTGGCTTTCAGAAAAATTGCAATCTTTTCTTCTCTCAGATGTATATGGGTTCCTCCAAAACCAAGCCAAGTGATACTTTATACTCTTATTTCTGTTACCGAGATATTAATGATAGCTTATGATGTTACAAGAGATTCAATGTAAATATTTCACAATAGTTTCTGTACTTTACTTTTCCCAGCATTTTCACTCCCTTCAAATATTTGTTAATCCCTATATTTCAACAGACTATTTTCTTGAAAAATGCTCAGTTATCCTGCCTCATCCAGCTCATCATGTTTTTCTTTTAATAAGTAGATATCATTTAGTCTATATTTTAAAATAGACATGTAGAAAACATTTACATTTTACACAATTCTAAATTACACATTATATAAACAATATGCTCTATTCTTTTACCATTGGAATATATTTATGAAGGAGGCTGAGAGTCATAAATATTGTTATATAAGAAAGTACAAGTCATTTATTATTATGGGACACTAACTTAGTTACAGAATTCAAATGACTACCCATACAAGAGTCAGTTTTTTTTTAAAGTATAAAAGAGCAGAGCTTAGTGTCAAGCTTGATTCCTCATGAAACATCTGTCCTTGGAGCTCCTGAATCTCAATTTCACATTCAATATCATTCCTACCAGACTGTACAGCAGTAATTAAAATGAGTGAGGTATGACATTGATTCTGATGGTGTCCACCATTCTAAGTTTTGCTTTATTATTCTGTATTGTGAATTTATTTCACTTTAAGTACAGGCAACAGATTAAATTTTATAATGTTCCTCCCATCAATTTTATAAAGGTCAGATCAACTCAGGTATACGACCCCTTTTTAAAATACATGTTTCTGAACCCTAACCCCACAAGTTTTATTGCAGTAAAATAAAAATCCATTATGCAATCATGAAAACAAAATTCTGCTGAATTTAATTCATTCTACAGATATTTACTCAGTGCATATTAAACTGCATGGTAAACATGGTGATAATGACAAGAAAGTAAGATATTCCCCCTGTTCTCTGGTGACTACAGAATTGAAATGGAAAGAGGGATGATGTTTAAGGGAAGAGACAATTAATCCAATCATTATATTTCAGTACAGAAATATGAACTATACTATATTAGCAGCATTTAATATAATGAGACAAATACATGGCAAGCCTCCACATTACAGACAGGATCAGAAACCGTCATGAGGCCAAGGTCATAGGCAGATTAAAGAGGAGAGAAGGGAAATCTTAAAACTACCAGTAGTTTGATATGATTACAGGAAAGGATCTGTGAAGGCAGCCACGCATTTACGAGATGAGGCTGCAAGTTGGAGGGGTTGGTGTCAAGGAGCATGGTTATTAACCTCAAAATTTTAATAAGCCACTAAGTTTCCAGCAAGAGCATGTCCTAGGTGGCTTTATATTTTAAATAAAATCACTTCAGTGCTTTAAAGAATACATTTGTCAGGGTTGGATAAAGGAAGGGAAAGTAGTTACCCTATGTCCAATCAAGACGTAATCCTGAAGCAAAAGAGTAGCTGCAAGGTTGGAGACAGCAGATGCTTTTAGGGGATGCAAAGGCAGTTAGGTCTTTAGCACTTGCCATCTGATTGGCTATGAAGGTTCATTTTTAGGGAGAAATCTAAGGTCACACACAGATTTCTCATTTGGCTGAATGTCAAAAGATATATTTATGTGTGTGCATAATGCAAATTCATACTGCTATCCTGTATGAAATGTGTGTTTATATAGATTCAGCTTAGACAATTCATTATACATCCATTCAAGTACACATGGTAAGCCCCTTTAATCAGAGTACTGTAACCCCTTTGTGGTATAGCTTCAAAGAAATAACTGGAAAAAGTAAGTAAGACTAACAGAAATTCTAAAAGAAAGCTACTGGGCATTCATAAATCACCTGTTCTCATTTCTATTTTCTTTCTCAGAATGGTTTGTTGGTCATTACCAGCCAGCATAAGAAATGCTGAACAGGAAGTAAATGCCCAAAGCATTCTGAGCATCTGAGACGACAGAAAATGAGAATCATTATGTGTTAGTAATGAGTCCATACACTGCAGTTCATGGGCCACATTCAGGTTTCTGACTACTCTGTAAAGCCTGTGAGCTATAACACTGTTCTCAGCATTTACGTACATGTGCATATATACAACCTTTATGGGTATCTTTAAGAGAGAGAAATAAAAAAGACAGATTTCCCACCCATTTACCAATTGCTCAAAATGACCAGGGCTGTGTCAGACTGAAGCTAAGACCTAGAAACTCAATCCAGGCTTCCCAAAATGATGGCAGGGACCCAATGGCTTGTGCTATCGCTTGCTAGTACATAGCATATACATTAGCAGGAAGCTGGAAGCAGGAGCAGCCTCAGCACTCAAGCCCAGGAACTCTAATAGTGGATACTGGCTATCCAACCTGGGGTCTTAGCTGCTAGGCTAATAAAACCTGCTCCCCATTTTTTTTAATAGTTAAAAAAGGAAAAGGAATAATCTGAGTGGCACGTGAAAAGTGTATGAAACTCAAATTTTACAGTTGGTAAAGTTGTTTATTGTGACTTGACCAAGCCATTCATTTATTGTCTATGACCATTTTCCTGCTACAATAGCAGATTTGAGTAACTGCTATCTCTGAATCTCAAGTCTGTAAAATTAAAAGCATAAGAACTGTGTTTAAAACCAACACTAGAGGGTTAAATGACACAGCAAATCTCAAGAGTCGAGGAGAATGCTGCTTCTCTCAATATTCCCACACATCCAATAGGCCCTCATAAGGACCAAACACTTTCTTTTTCTGTCTGTAGAATGTTATTTCGAATGCCTGAAGATAAAGTTCTACATCTACTCATACTAACACAAAATTCATGACAAACATGTGCAATCTGCTAGAATTTCTCTTCTTTTACTGAGGAGAAATACAAATTTTGTTTAGTTTGTATAATCTCTGTAATAAAAAAAATAGTATTACCAACCTTCAATGAATGTTTGAGCTTCATCAGAGCCATTCCAACACACTGTTTGCAAAGTGGTCAAGACAGAAAAGTATAAAAAAGTGTGTGGATTTTAGGGTGTTAAATAAGATTCCAAAAATTTACATGTTCTCCCTCTATACATGGACTTTAAATGGCAATAGGAATAACTCAGGAACAAATCAATAGCAGTGGAGGAAATATGGAACACCATCATCAGAGGCACTTAAGCAGTTCTGAAGGGTAAGGGTTTACACAAAACAGGGGAAGAAATCTACAAATCAACATTGATGGGAGAAGAGACAATATTGTTGGAAAACTGGGTGGGCTTGACAGTCTTGGTAGAGATCGGTGAAAAAGCATTAGCCTTTCAGCAGAAGGCATGGTTATCCATGGCAACAGAGTGATTAGCGCCATTAAAATGAAGTCCTTGGGTTTGGATGGCAATAATTGTCTGGTTATGGCAAAGACTCTATCGAAGCTACTGGTGTCAGGATAGAGGAAGGAGAGGGAGTTGGGGCGGTATCTAGAGGAATGATTCACCAATAACTATTAATTTTTGATGGAAGATTAACAACCACATAGAGAGAAATCAGTTTCAATGAACAAAATGAACAACCTCTGAGAAGACAGAATTAACAGTACGAAGACTATTTAATGAGCTTCCTAAGAAACATTTGGGAGGTCATTGTACTCATAAAATTAAGAACAGACTGTGAGGGCACTTCAAAAAGATTATGGGACAATGAAATTAAAAGTAAAGCTATTTTGGTACAAATAATTAAATTCTTGCATAACTTTCTCATAATATGCATCTCTGTGAACTTTTTGGAGAACTGGATATGCACGGGTTTCAATTTTTTGTATGTACCAAAATAAACTTATCTTTTAGAAAGTTAAAAAAATAAAACACAGGATTACAATAACTGGGGCTGAGAGAGGCTGAATCCAGGAACCATGAACTTCATCCAGGACTCTCACCTGGCTGCCTGGCTAACAGGAACTCATTTCATTTCAGCATCACCTGCCTTCCAGGTACATTAGCAAAACACTGGATAGAAAGCACAGAGGGAGGAGACTCTAACCCCTTTAACATAGGCTGAGGCATCCCAAATTGTGATTCAGCACAATGCCCTTCCCCATGCTGTTGTTTTCCCAGATGCAATTACTTCTAAAGGTGTAGAAAGAAAATAGAAGTAGGTACAAAATGGGAACAGAATTGAATTTTGCTATGTATTATGCATTTATATTCATTTGATGTTTTATTATGGGAAAGGATAAAAACTTTA